CTCTCTCTCCCTCTCTCCCCTTCTCCCCCTCTCTCTCTCCCCCATCTATCTCTCTCCTGTCTCTCTCTCCCCCCATTGCAAGATTTCCTCTCTTCTCCTGTTCCAGTGACAACTGTAGAAATGTTGGATTTTCTATCACTTTCTGTTTCAATGATAGTAGTTACCAGGACAAACAGAGAGTGTGGAAGGGTTAGAACCCCTGTCAGGATTGTATCGCTGTCTGTGTTCACCCTCTATCTAAAACTTTACAAATGTTTTGCATTTAGATACACTTTAATCTCTCCCATTCTTGGCATTCAGAAAATATATAATGTTGGGGGGTTTTAAGTCATTTTCAGGCCTAAAATGTGGAATATAACATGGGTGCAAAAAATGAAAAAAGGGCCTCAGTCATGAAGGGGTTAATACTGACTGTTTGGCATAGCACCCTCTAGAGGGTAAATGAGGAAAAGCATGAATGTTACAGCAATAACCTTTTTATCTTGAACTCTCCCCTATAGCTGGAGTCCACTGTAATGCCGTACTTACAAATTCTGTCCCAGTTCAGAGAGGGGGTTCGACAAATTGCCCGAGAGAACAAAGGTAAGACCAACCACAGCCGATGTAAACGTTCTTTAGACAGAAATTGCACATTGCCGGCAGTCCTGGTTTGGCAATAAAGCAAAACTTTGTTGTCCTCAAAAGGATTCTAGAGGACTGCATGGGCCCTTCAGTAAAAAGTACAATTGTAGAGAGATGGGCACTTCATATCTGTATTTGTTTCATAACCACACTTTACTAAAAAAAATAACTTTTGCGGGTGAAACAAATACAGTTGGCAGGAACAATGTGTTTTGCTTCATTTTTATTTTGGGGAGGTTTAATAGGAAATAAAGATAAATAAAGGTTCTGTGCTCAGACCAACGCAGCATTCCCTCACCTGTAGTGGAGAATGAACCCAAGCTAGAATCGCATCACCTTGCGGGCTGGCCAGGGACAAACAAGATATGAAACCACCATTTACATTTCCGAGGTCTCCTATGTGGTGTTTTATTCAGGGTGTCATTAAAGTGACATTAATCCCTCAGATTTTTTAACATAAACCAATACTGTAATGTGCGCCTTACTGTAATCCATGGTAGTTTCCCTTCTCTTTGCTGCTCTTCCTTTTTAAATCCTTCTCTCTTCTCATGATGGGCAGAACTTCTGTTTTGCAGCAGACTGCCTTGTCTCAGGAATGGATACACGGTGTCTGTGTATAGGTTTGTAACCTGAGCCAGCACTACAGGAAGAGGCCCTGAGCTGCAAAGGGAAGTTCTCCCCAAGCATGAGAAGACATGAGGTTTTAAAAGGAAGAGCAGCAAAGAGAAGGGAAACTACCATGGATTACAGTATTGGTTTATGTAAAAAAATCTGAGGGTTTAATGTCACTTTAAGTGATGCATTATTTACACAAGCAAGTGCGGCTGTTTTTCAAGGGTTCGTGGTATCACACCTGAAATGTGCTTGCTGTAGGCAATGTTAACGCCCTTTTTTTTTTTTTGAATGCAGCTTCTGATATATCAGACCCAGATATTCCGGTGTGGGGTCTATATTGGTAATTTTATACATTCTGTTTTGGAAGACTTTGCTATTATTTTTTCTAATTGTTCCCCTTCCAGTGTTGGGGGTGTTGAAGCTGTGTGATGCCCTTCGAGATGACGTCCTGCCAGAACTTGGAGTGCGCCTGGAGGATCATGAAGGTAACAAACCAGATGCCAGACAGCTAAATAGACAGTTGAAATCTGTGCTGCACCACTTTGCGCAGAAAATTGTTGCAAATACAAATGTTTCGTCATTCTCATGTTCATTTCTTTTGTTTGTATTGGTGACACAAAAAAGTGGAGGAAAAAAAAGCCAAACCTGACACATTCCACACAAAACTCCAAAAATGGACTGGACATAATTATTGGCACCCTCAATTAATATTTGGTAGCGCAGCCCTTGGAAAAAATAACTGAAATCAATGGCTTCCTGTAACCATTAATGAGTTTCTTACACCTCTCTACAGGAATTTTGGAGCATTCTTGTTTCGCCAACTGCTCCAGGTCTCTCATATTGGAAGGGTTCCTTTTCCCAAATGCTGTTTTGAGATCTCTCCACAGGTGTTCTATGGGATTCAAATCTGGACTTATTGCTGACCAGTCCAGTACTCTCCAGCGCTTTGTCTGAAACCATTTCTGGGAGGTTTGTGACTTGTGCTTTGGGTCATTGTCCTGCTGTAAGACACATGACCTCTGACGAAAGCTCAGTATATCGAAAGCTACAGCTCGCGGTATACTGAGACGCCGGAACGGATCCCAACATCGCTGTCGAGATCCGCCCAGCTGCGTAATTGACACCTGGCTCTGCCTATCCAGAGGCAGAGCCAGCTGTGCCCGCCCCCTCCCCCGGCCTTTCCGCCAGTCAGCGCTGGAGGATCGGACAGGGGAGGGGAGAATCCCTGCAGGGAGCCGTGAGTGACAGTCAGGGCTCTCTGCAGGGAGATGATCGAGAAGTGAGCGAGTGACGGTATGTGTTCGCTCACTTCCCGATCTACTGAGCCGACCTGTGACAGTTTCATTGTCACGGGTCGGCTCAGATTATGAGGCTGAGTGAAAAGCACTCGCCTCATAATTCTCCTTTTAAGTCACATGGTACAGAAGTGCCGTTTGATTTCAGCCTTACAACTTGATGTCCATTTCCTGTGAATGTTTATTTTTTTCTTTATAGTATAAAGGTGGGTAGGGAGTGCTCAGCCTTGTTGTAGGTATTGACTTACCAAAAGTCAATATTGCATAAGATTTTCTGGGCCCCGCAGAGGCAGATTCAGGGGCCTGAGATTACAGTAGGCTCTGGTGTCTCGGTGTTCCTGTGCCCCATAGTTAACTGTCTAAACATGTAGTAAGTACGATTATACTTTAAATGGTCTTCTTTCGTAGGTCTGCCAACGGTGGTCAAACTTGTGGACAAAGAAACTTTGCTAAAGGAAAGGGAAGAAAAGAAAATGGTAAATTAACCTTTTCATACTTCTCATTTAACACAAATATTTTGATGCCATTTTAGCAGTAATAGTTGCCTCAGTCATGAAGGGGTTAATACTGACTGTTTGGCATAGCACCCTCTAGAGGGTAAATGAGGAAAAGCATGAATGTTACAGCAATAACCTTTTTATCTTGAACTCTCCCCTATAGCTGGAGTCCACTGTAATGCCGTACTTACAAATTCTGTCCCAGTTCAGAGAGGGGGTTCGACAAATTGCCCGAGAGAACAAAGGTAAGACCAACCACAGCCGATGTAAACGTTCTTTAGACAGAAATTGCACATTGCCGGCAGTCCTGGTTTGGCAATAAAGCAAAACTTTGTTGTCCTCAAAAGGATTCTAGAGGACTGCATGGGCCCTTCAGTAAAAAGTACAATTGTAGAGAGATGGGCACTTCATATCTGTATTTGTTTCATAACCACACTTTACTAAAAAAAATAACTTTTGCGGGTGAAACAAATACAGTTGGCAGGAACAATGTGTTTTGCTTCATTTTTATTTTGGGGAGGTTTAATAGGAAATAAAGATAAATAAAGGTTCTGTGCTCAGACCAACGCAGCATTCCCTCACCTGTAGTGGAGAATGAACCCAAGCTAGAATCGCATCACCTTGCGGGCTGGCCAGGGACAAACAAGATATGAAACCACCATTTACATTTCCGAGGTCTCCTATGTGGTGTTTTATTCAGGGTGTCATTAAAGTGACATTAATCCCTCAGATTTTTTAACATAAACCAATACTGTAATGTGCGCCTTACTGTAATCCATGGTAGTTTCCCTTCTCTTTGCTGCTCTTCCTTTTTAAATCCTTCTCTCTTCTCATGATGGGCAGAACTTCTGTTTTGCAGCAGACTGCCTTGTCTCAGGAATGGATACACGGTGTCTGTGTATAGGTTTGTAACCTGAGCCAGCACTACAGGAAGAGGCCCTGAGCTGCAAAGGGAAGTTCTCCCCAAGCATGAGAAGACATGAGGTTTTAAAAGGAAGAGCAGCAAAGAGAAGGGAAACTACCATGGATTACAGTATTGGTTTATGTAAAAAAATCTGAGGGTTTAATGTCACTTTAAGTGATGCATTATTTACACAAGCAAGTGCGGCTGTTTTTCAAGGGTTCGTGGTATCACACCTGAAATGTGCTTGCTGTAGGCAATGTTAACGCCCTTTTTTTTTTTTTGAATGCAGCTTCTGATATATCAGACCCAGATATTCCGGTGTGGGGTCTATATTGGTAATTTTATACATTCTGTTTTGGAAGACTTTGCTATTATTTTTTCTAATTGTTCCCCTTCCAGTGTTGGGGGTGTTGAAGCTGTGTGATGCCCTTCGAGATGACGTCCTGCCAGAACTTGGAGTGCGCCTGGAGGATCATGAAGGTAACAAACCAGATGCCAGACAGCTAAATAGACAGTTGAAATCTGTGCTGCACCACTTTGCGCAGAAAATTGTTGCAAATACAAATGTTTCGTCATTCTCATGTTCATTTCTTTTGTTTGTATTGGTGACACAAAAAAGTGGAGGAAAAAAAAGCCAAACCTGACACATTCCACACAAAACTCCAAAAATGGACTGGACATAATTATTGGCACCCTCAATTAATATTTGGTAGCGCAGCCCTTGGAAAAAATAACTGAAATCAATGGCTTCCTGTAACCATTAATGAGTTTCTTACACCTCTCTACAGGAATTTTGGAGCATTCTTGTTTCGCCAACTGCTCCAGGTCTCTCATATTGGAAGGGTTCCTTTTCCCAAATGCTGTTTTGAGATCTCTCCACAGGTGTTCTATGGGATTCAAATCTGGACTTATTGCTGACCAGTCCAGTACTCTCCAGCGCTTTGTCTGAAACCATTTCTGGGAGGTTTGTGACTTGTGCTTTGGGTCATTGTCCTGCTGTAAGACACATGACCTCTGACGAAAGCTCAGTATATCGAAAGCTACAGCTCGCGGTATACTGAGACGCCGGAACGGATCCCAACATCGCTGTCGAGATCCGCCCAGCTGCGTAATTGACACCTGGCTCTGCCTATCCAGAGGCAGAGCCAGCTGTGCCCGCCCCCTCCCCCGTCCTTTCCGCCAGTCAGCGCTGGAGGATCGGACAGGGGAGGGGAGAATCCCTGCAGGGAGCCGTGAGTGACAGTCAGGGCTCTCTGCAGGGAGATGATCGAGAAGTGAGCGAGTGACGGTATGTGTTCGCTCACTTCCCGATCTACTGAGCCGACCTGTGACAGTTTCATTGTCACGGGTCGGCTCAGATTATGAGGCTGAGTGAAAAGCACTCGCCTCATAATTCTCCTTTTAAGTCACATGGTACAGAAGTGCCGTTTGATTTCAGCCTTACAACTTGATGTCCATTTCCTGTGAATGTTTATTTTTTTCTTTATAGTATAAAGGTGGGTAGGGAGTGCTCAGCCTTGTTGTAGGTATTGACTTACCAAAAGTCAATATTGCATAAGATTTTCTGGGCCCCGCAGAGGCAGATTCAGGGGCCTGAGATTACAGTAGGCTCTGGTGTCTCGGTGTTCCTGTGCCCCATAGTTAACTGTCTAAACATGTAGTAAGTACGATTATACTTTAAATGGTCTTCTTTCGTAGGTCTGCCAACGGTGGTCAAACTTGTGGACAAAGAAACTTTGCTAAAGGAAAGGGAAGAAAAGAAAATGGTAAATTAACCTTTTCATACTTCTCATTTAACACAAATATTTTGATGCCATTTTAGCAGTAATAGTAATCATCTTTATTCCAATCGGCTCTCTGACTCGTGTAAAGCGTTATGTCTGTCCCAGCATTACCTTGTGAGCTTTGCATTCAATCTGTTTGACACAAAATGAAGCCATTCAATGAGCTGCATTCAGACACAATAGGCAGTGGACTGGGTGTGCTGACTTAAAGGAGAACTATGAGGGGGTGATTTTCACTCACCTCATAGTTCTAGCCGACCTGTGACAATGAGACTGTCACAGGTCAGCTCAGTAGATCGGGAGGTGAGCGAACACATACCGGCGTTCGCTCACCTCTCGATCCTGTCACGGCTCTCTGCCGTGACAGGGGGGGGGCTGGATTCCCCCCTCCCCGCTCCGATCCTCCAGCGCTGACTGGCGGAACGGATGGGGGAGGGGGCGGGTACAGCTGGCTCTGCCTCTAGATAGGCAGAGCCAGCTGTCAGTCACGCAGCTGGGCGGATCCAGACATAATTGTCGGGATCCGCTTCAGCTGCGGCGTCTCAGTATACCGCGAACTGTAGCTCGCGGTATACTAAGCTTAGGGTGCTAGTTTGTGTCCTCCTGTTACCCTAAGGAGAACTATGGGGAAAAGCCCTAACCCCATAGTTCTCTGTTAATATATAATATGTATGTAAATCCTAACGATGAGCCCCTCTTATTTGCTCCCTTTTGATGCGTTGAATAAAACATTCATACGTTTCGTTCTTCTTTTTGGTAAGTGCAATTTTAAAAAAACCTGTTGATCCTGACAGAAATCCAGTGCTGTCCCATGCACTCTACAGTGTTATCAGTCCTGCCAATATGTCTATATTGTGTTGATGAGGAGAGTTAGGTGTTCTGTGGTCCAGACTTCCTTACTTAGGGTGACAACACTGCTCCTCCATAGATACATTAAGATACATTGGCCCAACCACCAGGGCAAAATAAAGGGGGGAAAAAAAGCGTGACAAAAAACTAATGCATCCACCACATCTAAGGGCTTTGGTTTAAAGTGACATTAAACCCTCAGATTTTTTAACATAAACCAATACTGTAATGTGCGCCTTACTGTAATCCATGGTAGTTTCCCTTCTCTTTGCTGCTCTTCCTTTTTAAATCCTCATGTCTTCTCATGCTGGGGGAGAACTTCCCTTTGCAGCTCAGGGCCTCTTGCTGTAGTGCTGGCTCAGGTTTCAAGCCCATAGAAACGTATACACAGACACAATGTATCCATTCCTGAGACAAGGCAGTCTGCTGCAAAACAGTAGTTCTCCCCAAGCATGAGAACAGATAAGGATTTAAAAGGAAGAGCAGCAAAGAGAAGGGAAACTACCATGGATTACAGTAAGGTGCACATTACAGTATTGTTTTATGTTAAAAAATGTGAGGGTTTAATGTCACTTTAAGTACATGGTAACCACTCTACTGGAACTATACTCAAATATAAACTATTAGCTGGCTTTCGCGGACAAATAAATAAAGAGCGATAGAGTCCAATATGTTTACTCTTTCCTGGAGAAAATGCTGCTTCAGGCTTTCTCCAGTGCTGGTCTCGTATACCAAAGTAAAGGTGGTGATACCCCTGTCAGGAAAGAATTGAATGCAAAAATCTCCATGTTTTATGGGGTGCGAACCCCATCTATTCATAAGGGATGATATACATAAATATATACAATTGCTGCCTATATGGAAGACTACTACTACTACATAGCGCTGTTTTCATCCAATCAGTAGCTGCCCTGAGCATTCAAGTACATTGTTCGAGTGCTTCCCATAGTAATTAATAGGCCGCATTTGCCTGTGGAAAATGATACAGTAAGAACATGCGTGCATAGATATGGGTCAGGGACATGTGCTGCAGATGCCACCCCAGCCATTCTCCAGAGAGATATCTGCTGTCTGCCTATGAATGGCTTCTAGTAGTAAGACATATCGGACATACACTGACATTTACAGCTGTATCCCACCAGCTGCGTCAGAGAATTTCTTTACACAAGTGTTCGAGGATTGTGAAATGTGAGGCTCGCCTGCAGAGGGGAATTCCACCCACAGAGCTCCATGTCCCCTGCCACAGAAACACAAGCCTTGATGACAAGTGTAGACGATGCACGGGAAACACTGACACTATGCTACTGATGCTGGTGAATTTTACATGTAGCATGCAAAGGTCTAGTATGAATACTTCCTATAATGCAGAGGCAGATGAGTCGGAGTCACGTTCTTCTATTATCAGATTTTTATCAAGTAAAAAGTATGAATAAAAAATACCATCAACATGTTCCGTGGCTCTAAAATGACCACTTCTTCAGGCGGGTGTGAGAGGACACTGACGTCAAGAAAGTTATATAAAACAATGTATCAATAATGTGTATAACAACAAGTGGCGTTATAAGAATAAAATGCGCTGATATTATTCCTGATTGCATCTAAAATATACTAAAAGATGAAAGGTTTGGAGAAGGCGGGAGAAGAACAATCTAGGACAAAATTATTATTACATAGTATTTATATAGCGCCAACAGTTTGCGCAGCGCTTTACAATATAAGGAAGACATTACAATCACAATGCAATTAAAGACAAGATGGTAAGGAGGGCCCTGCCCCTGAGGGCTTACAATCTAAAAGGGGAGATGGGAAGTGATACATGAAGTGGTAGCTGTGTGGGGATGAATTGTTTGAGAATGTGACGTTTCAGTGTTTAGGTGGGAAGCTGATATGCTTCCCTGAAGAGATGCGTCTTTAGGGAACGCCTAAAGGCAAGGTGGGAGACAGACGTACAGGTTGCGGTAAAGAGTTCCAGAGGATGGCAGAGACTCTAGAGAAGTCCTGGAGACGTGTATGGGAGGAGTTGACGAGGGAGCTGGAAAGCAGAGCTAGGACAACATAGCTGATTTGGAAAAATTATCCAATTCAGCTCACATTCCAGTTTAGATATGTTGTCCTAGATTGTTCCCGTCTCCTGCCTTCTCCACCCTATCTTCTCAACTCTTCACCCTTCTGTGAATAACCCCCATAGTGACGTACACTTTACCGACCTAAAATTCTTATGTAAAAATTATAAATTGCAAAGAGAACAATGGAGAGTGATGGAAAAAAAGCCATAAGTTCTTATTAGAAGAGATCAGGATAGAGACATGGAAATAATACAGACATGGCACTGGATTCCATCTGGCAGCCTTCCAGGTGGCCAGTAGGTGGCTCTCTGCTGCTTCCAGACTCGTGAAATATTTATGACCTGCGTCTGGCTGCTGGAGAGTTTTTTACGTCTTGTGTCTAGGAGCTTTTGTTCGCTTCAGTCGTGTTTTGCATACAAAGCTTTGTGAATTGAAAACCCACTTGAAGCAGATAAAATGCAGGTCAGAAGGAGGTCAACTGCAGGCTAAATGCGCCTGTCAATGGATTATGAATGGTCTCGGAAGTATGCAAGGAGTTTGCATGCGCTCCCTGTGCTCGTGTGGGTTTCCTCCGGCTACTCCGGTTTCCTCCCACACTCTAAAGACATGCTGGAAGGTAATTGGATCCTGTCTAAAGTGGCTCCTGTATGTATGTGAGATAGGGATCTTAGATTGTAAGCTCTTTGAGGTCAAGGACTTGTGTGAATGTGCCGTATGTAAAGCGCTGCGTAAATTGTCGGCGCTATATAAATACCTGTAATAAATAAGTACCGTACTTCGCGCCTCATAAGGCGCACTGGACCATAGGACGCAGGGAGGGTAGGAGTCTGTAATAGCTGCAGTTAGTGATAGCTGAGACAGGCGGCGCTGTGATTACAGCGCCACGGTCTCAGTGATCACACAGAGCAGACGAAGAACGGACGTTGTTCGTCTGCTCTATGGTGAGCTCCTATGCCGTGGTCACGGGTCCCCCAGAGGAGCGGGGGACCCCGAAAACCACGGCGGGAGGGGGGGGCCAGCACATGAACGCCACCGCTCGATTTGATACAAGTGATCTGATTAGATCACTTGTATTAAACGAGCAGCGGCTCCCACTGTACGTTTAGCTCTGCTTGTCGGGAGCAGGGCTAAATGTACAAAAAAAACTAGTTGCCCGGCGCCCGAAACTGCATGTCCCGGGCGTCGGGCGATAGGGATTCGCTTCATAAGACACACACACATTTTTGCCCCTTTTTGGGGGGAAAACTGCGTCTTATGGAGCGAAAAATACGTTAAATCTCAAACTGATGAGATCAACACAAGCCAAAAGCCCATCAACACAAGCCCCACCTTATGTTGATGGGTAAGCTCTGCCTTACCCTCTGCATGAGGCCTCTGTATTTTGCCAGTTTGCTGTGTTCTTAGGGTTAGAGCCTTTGTACTGGTGTTTTGCAGTTAGGTGAGGTACAAGACTCAAGGATAATGGCCTAGACTGGAATAACATACAGCATGCGTGGTGAGATGCCTCCACTAGAATCACCAGCTCTGTCCATCTTTCAGGTTTAATAATAAGTCTCATGATGGCACCAAACTCCAAAAAGAGATTCTTTATAAGTTCACCTGCGAGAGAGTGAACATGATCTTTCGGCCCTTGTGGGAGGAGACGCAAAGATCATGTCAATATTATAAGAAGCTGATAAGGGGTTTAATCCAGGACTGAAATGTCAGTTTAGGTGTAGATAAGTCTAGCACTAACAATGATTGTTCCTGCCAGGGCCCTTCGGCTCTCTCTATTTCCTCTCCGCATTATCCTGACACTCTGTCAGCTACAATCTACAGCTAAATGCCTGCTCACGGCCTGTCACCACTCCCTTAACAAACAAGAGTAGTCACGGTCTAATAACCTTTAATATATTTCCAGGCAGAAGAAGAGAAGAAAAGGAAGAAGGAGGAAGCTGCCAGGAAAAAGCAGGAACAAGAGGTGATTAGAAGGATCTTATCAAGTTGACTCATTATTTAGTTTGGTAAAGTGGACCTGTTACAGTTCTACATTCGTTACAGTTCTGCATTCATATATTTCTGACATATAACAATGTACAGCAACAGGATCATTTTTCAGAAACGTTCCACCTTTTATCATTGAAAAGCTGCCCTTGCACTCCAGTCCAGTGACATATAGGCCTTGTACTACCCTTGGCCTGTGATTAGGCAGTGAAAGGAGAAGCAGCAGACCACTGAGCTCATCTCTCTGCCGCTCTTCTCTCTCCTCCTGTTATCACATCCCCTGTTGGCTCATCTCTCTGCCGCTCTTCTCTATCCTCTTATCACATCCCTTGTTAGCTCATCTCTCTGCTGCTCTTCTCTCTCCTCTTCTCATCACATCCCTTGTTAGCTCATCTCTCTGCCGCTCTTCTCTCTCCTCCTGTTATCACATCCCTTGTTGGCTCATCTCTCTTCCGCTCTTCTCTATCCTCCTGTTATCACCTCCCTTGTTAGCTCATCTCTCTGCCGCTCTTCTCTCTCCTCCTGTCATCACATCCCTTGGTGGCTCATCTCTCTGCCGCTCTTCCCTATCCTCTTATCACATCCGCTCTCCTCTTAGCCCATCCCTTGTTGGCTCATCTCTCTGCCGCTCTTCTCTATCCTCTTATCACATCCCTTGTTAGCTCATCTCTCTGCTGCTCTTCTCTCTCCTCTTCTCATCACATCCCTTGTTAGCTCATCTCTCTGCCGCTCTTCTCTCTCCTCCTGTTATCACATCCCTTGTTGGCTCATCTCTCTTCCGCTCTTCTCTATCCTCCTGTTATCACCTCCCTTGTTAGCTCATCTCTCTGCCGCTCTTCTCTCTCCTCCTGTCATCACATCCCTTGGTGGCTCATCTCTCTGCCGCTCTTCCCTATCCTCTTATCACATCCCTTGTTGGCTCATCTCTCTGCCGCTCTTCCCTATCCTCCTGTTATCACATCCCTTGTTAGCTCATCTCTCTGCCGCTCTTCTCTCTCCTCCTGTTATCACATCCCTTGTTAGCTCATCTCTCTGCTGCTCTTCTCTCTCCTCTTGTCATCACATCCCTTGTTAGCTCATCTCTCTGCTGCTCTTCTCTCTCCTCTTCCTCCTCTTCCTATCACATCCCTTGTTAGCACATGAGCATTGCACCACGGCTGACTGACTCCTTGTGCTGCTCCTTCCTCTCCTAGCTAGATTGTGCTCTGCTGTACAGAAGTCTGATACCAACCGTATTCAGATATTTACACTGCTTGCATTTAAAAATGTATATATATATAT